TTAAATAGGCAGTGGTCTTTTGACTCAATCTGATTAAAGGGAAGCTACGTTTGTTGGCCACTCCATACGTTTTATAGGTACATAATTTATAATCACAAAAAATATGAATTATAAAAAAAGTTTACAGCATCTAAAGCAAATTCCTGCCTCATCACACATAAAGCCCAGCTGTATCCCTAAAGCTCATTCCTTCGCACTCCAACAATAACAATAATCCACAACAGTAAGAAATACCCTTAGTATATGAGTTGTGTCACATTTGGTGGGGGACTGCAAGAAACACTCACCGCACACAAACACAAAAAGCAGAGAGGCCTGGAAGTTCAGATTTGCATGTGAAAAAGTGTTTGATTTTGCCGTTGACACATCCAAGGCATTGTAATGGAACCAGCCCGCCGCTGCTGAAAATAGCTCATAATCAATCAACTGGCAGACACATATCTGTGCTCTTAAAACGTATAAATGTGCAATGCAGAGGGCAGGATCAATGGGTGACAGGATTCCAAAAGCATCGATATGGACATGCTCTTTGGCATAACAAACGCTCGCCATCAGCCCCCACTTATTTCCTGTGCCTTTGTCAAATGAGCCGTCCGGCATTAGGCTGAAAAAAACATATCTGCCAGTGGAGCAAGGTCTGTGAAGGACAGACAACACAGATGAAATGGTGGAGGTATACAATAGGCCTTCCCAAAATGTAAATACCACATATCTAACCAAATTTCCTTCCGCTGTGATCTTGTTTGGTGGACAATATTTCTATTGTGTTTTGCTGTAAGCATACAAGGTTGCTGCCTGCCAATCTGTTCCTCCCACAAAACAGCCACAGGTAGGCCAACTTCCTCTTTAATTTACTTTCACAGTGACTAAAAGCACTCTTATCACATTTGTGATCCAAGACATAGTCAACAACACAAACACAAGTCTGTGCAGGTTCCATACAAAAAAAGAGAGCGAGCAAGTGTTAAAAACAAAAGTTAAAGAATTGAAATGAAAGCTTCCTGGACTGCCTACAAGATTACAAGAGTCAGTGCTAGGTCAAAAGCAGCTAGCACTGAGAATAGGGGACAAGCTATGAGACAGACCCTTGTAGACAAACATGTCTTGTTAGACAAGTTAGACGAATAGCCAAAACAACACATTTGTTTAAATACAGCTAAAGTCTAAAGTTATGACCTCTGCTCTTTTCCTTTCAACCTAGTTGGCCACTGAAGCTGTCTACCAGTGTTTCACTACTTCCAGGATACTCACTAAGAACAGTTAGTATAGATTAATGGTCATAATAACAATAGGCGTGTGTGTGTGTGTGTGTGTGTGTGTGTGTGTGTGTGTGTGTGTGTGTGTATACACAGTGTGTATGGGGGGGCCCTTATACACAGACAGGTCTGCTGCCATGTAGGACAGAGTATCTATGAATGCCCTCCATCCACATAGTTCATTCAGAGGTTAAAACTGAGAGAGGAAGTAAGTGAGAGGCCACGCAGACTGACAAATTCTAGACATCAAACACTCTGACAATAGAGGCATATTGTGATGTTTCTACGCAACAGTGATATTTCTAAATGAATTGAAATGACAAGGAAAAGCACATGAGCAACTAGACACAACAGCTATCATTTAACTGAACAGCCATTCAAGTAAGAAAAACTCTTACTTTTGTAAACTAAACTAGACCGCGACCGATTTATCGGCCGATATGAGCTAATTGCATTTAATCGGTATCAGCCGTTTATAACAGCAGATTTATGACTACTAAAAAAGAAAGAGTCAGATGCTTCACTCATGTCATGAGTGTTGCATAGTTTGCCCACCAGAGGGCGCGCTGCAGCTCCCCCATTAACAACACTGCCTCACCACAAAAACCACAGAAGAAAACAAGAGGCTGACCGGAGTACACAAGAGCACAGCAAGTAGAAACAACATACAGAATGACTGTGTTAGCGGTGAGTTGATCATTTGTCACATTAATTACATGACATAAATTAAATAATAATAAAACAGCCCCAATCACTTCTCCTCTCCTCAAAACATTCATGACTTGCTAATCCTCCCGGCTCACCGCAGTATGTTTAATGTTATGGTAGTTGAGAGCTGGAGGCTACGCTGCTGACAAAAGTGATTGTAAATTTATTTCTGAAACAGTGTGTCAGTTCTAGCGAAGTGTCCTCATTTGTCCCTAGTTCATCACTTCTAAATATTCTCTAAAATCACGTAACGTTACAGCAGGTAACGCTGCCCGTTGCTAAATTAACCACAAAGCTAATGCTGTGTTTATCAGTGGTGGAGCGCAAATGTTGTTAATGAGCCATTAAACTATAGTTTCTGACGTAATCTAAATTTATCTGCGAGCCGTTTGTTTGTAGTTTTAGTCGTTGTGTCGGGAAATGATTTAACCAGAGCAGACACGTAAATATACGTGAGCTGAACAAGAATCAAACTGGCTTCCTGACAGACAAAGTTGCAGGTCCTTGTTGTAGACAAGTCATGTAGTATTAGATGTATTCAACAGCAGGTCACTGTAGTAACGTTATCGTAGATGGCATGATTTAAACAGATGGTGGTTGAGAAATGGTTACTCATAGCTTTGGTTAGAATTACAGAGTGCTGGTAAAGGGATAAACTAGATGTGAATATGTTACATTGAAATTACAGCAGATTATGTGTAAAGTGAAATACACATGCCTATTCCCTCTCACTCTCTCTGTTTACAGATGGCTGAAAAACTTGCACCTTCCAGCAGCAAATATTTATTGATGTGCAATTGTTTACATGTTAAGTTGTTGAGACTGCAATGTATTTTATTAACATAATCCATTTAGGAAAAGATTTTATAGCCCACATACAGAACAGCTTTCAACAGTGGCCATTTCTAAGTGTAGTTTACACAGGAAAGGGGTCTACTATCCAAATCATTCTGAAAATATAAATATCGGCTCATAAATCGATATCGGCATCGGCCCCTAAAAACCCTCATCAGTCGGATTCTACACTAAACCCCATGGAGCTGTGACTTATTATCATTTTTTATCTCCTTTACACACTAGTAATATAAATTTGTTAGCTTGATGATGATTTATTGGCCAAACATACAATTGTTCACTAGTTGTTAAACAATCAGGGGGAGCAACTTAACAGTCCAAAAGGCGGTGCTAGGACAGCAAGAGAAGCAATCAAAAGGGACAAAAAAATATTGAAGAGGAGGACTTTTGAAACAGGGAGGTCAACTGGGACTTAAAATAAACAATTAAGCATCAGTCATTTGGCAGTACTTTGGATTTGGAAGAGTAGATGTATCTTCCAGCAAAGAAAAGTAAAGACAGGAAGTAAAGCAATCAAGTTCAAAACCAATACACGCACTCAAACACCAGAGAAGTCACATATAAACCAGCACCACTCAATTTAAATACTATCTGCTTTTCCCTGTCTTCATTTTACTGTGTTAATGTTTGCTCATGTCACAGGGCAGCTGTATTTTGAGTGCTTCAGCTAGTTGCAACCCTCAGTGGTCTCAGTTATCACAATATAGAATATTCTTTCTGATTTCGACATTCAGAAGACCACTGTATTTACATAGTTGTAAAGGACATTCAGAAAGGATATTTTAAATGTTTATGATACCACAATATTATATGTTATCGTCATGATCCTGGAATATGGACTAAAATAAACACTTGCTGATGCTTTTTTACATATTGTGCAGTTGTACTGCACACAGACAGACTGACTTAGAGCAGCAAAGACTAACACAGGCCTTGGACTGTAACAGCTCCACCTTACAGATTCATGTGACTCTCCAACCATCACCTGACTATCTCTCTCCTTTCTATGGAAGCTGCTGTCAGGAAGGGTAACCAGGGAAGACTTGACCTGAAGTCAAATTTATGTTCAAGTAACGGAAGATATTCAGAAAAAGAGCACAGAGAACATTTGTCTACGTACTATACCATCTTTAAAACATCTCAACACTACACCCATGTAACACAGGCTTACAGATCGTTGACAACAAGACAATGTCCCCAGTCACTGATAAAGTGTGCCTTTGACCGGACCCTGAGAGATAAAGCAAGCCAACCTTTGGGACGGGAGGGGACAACGTACAGCGTGCTGCGCTTCTGAGTCTGTATCATGTACATGTCCTCATATTTACATGTGAATCCAGAGGTGAGTCAGAGAGTAAGCAGAAGGAGAACACTGTAATCAATGAGTCACTTTGCATAACCAAACTTCCTTTTACAAGCAACAGTGGGGCCCCTTCAGTGTGTAAAACCAGCACCCTATGATGGCCTGAGGTACTATAGGAGCCTTCCAAATAATCTGGGGCACCAGGCAAAGAGGCATAGGTTTCTGCACCTTGCCACACTGGAGTTATCAGTATTTCCTAACTACAGTATCTGGAATACAATTGTATTAGGAAAAGCTCTACACAGATTGCAGCTAAAATCATGACCCACATAGCTTTTGTCCAGCCTGAACTTTTGTCTATCAACTCCAGAGGTAGGTTATGACTTTTACTTTAACTACAGCTTTATTACATCTTTACATGTGTACAGACAAATATTACACTAATAGAATACCATGAATTCAACAGTTGGGCATTTTACTACAGGCCAGACAAGGCTTTGCATATTGCCATGGTGAAATGTCACACACACTGACATGAAGAGATATATATATCATTTTCCAAAGGACAGGATACAACTGCTGCTTGCCTTGCCACACCCAGAGTAAACACATCTCAGCCATATTCATATATGACATGACACCAGCACACAGCGCAGAGCTTTCATTTCGAGCATGACACAAAGAGGACGGCCAAAGTTGTGACAATCGTTTACAGCCTGTAAAGAGCAAAATAGCTCATTTGTCTTGTTCTCACTGTATTACAGATGCACAAATGACTGATTACATAATGTGTGTAGTTGTGACAATCTTTTGTAAACCTGCACGTATCCAAAGCTCAAACATCATACCACAAAATGCCTTTAAATGTTTGAACTCACTATTGTGCACAGTCGATGAGCTGGTACTCATTGGACCTCTCAAAGCATGCCTTCACTCCTTCGTCGTCCCACAGCTTCTTTGCGTGATCAAAGAACTCCTGAGGAAAAGAAAAAAACACATTAGAAAAACAGACAAAAGACAATAACGCCAACAAAAAGACGTAACAAACTTGGGAGTACAATGTGATGAAGGGAAGGCCAGGGGCTTTGAAACCATTCATATTGATCCATCTAAAGATACTTCACGAACAGTCTCCTTTGTGAGCTCATTTAAGTCGTCATGCTTATATGTGTAGTCCACATTTAACTTTGGAGGGAACAATTCTTTAAAGTATAACAGGATATTGTCCAGAGTGTTAAAATGGTCACTGAATAAAGTTTACTTCATTTAGAAACATTCGGAAATTCTAAACATGTACTTGGAAAATGTGACTTAAAGTGCTGCCTACGGCAGGGGCAACGTATCGACATAATTGATTACAAAAATACGTTGATTTGCATAATCAGGGTATATACAGGAATCCTGAAGTAAAATTCAATACCTTTTCATCATATTTTAAGACTGCTGCGCCACTTTGATCTGTAACCGGTTAAGTCTGAAGTAAATTTTTTTTAACAATTACTCTAGTAAAACAGATGTTGATGGTAAACATGTTGTTCTCAGGAGGGAGGAGGCGAGAAGGAGCACATACTGGCACCCTGGCATCCTGACTCTGGCTAAATCTGTCCATTGCAGATGATTCATCCACAACCTGAAGGAGGAGCTACTATAAATTAGTGTATTAGTATTATATAATAACATTATATTAAAAGTATATTGTTAATGTAATAGTATACTGGTGATAGATATTTTTTATATGATGTTAATATACTTCATATAATAGTAGCCGACATATATAGCTTATCACTATTATAATATTAATTCCAGTTACATCAGTTTCATTTTGGGCTTGTTTTTATTCATTAACTTTGTGCAAGAAAAATGCTCTACATGGTAGTTAGTCCCTTCAATTTTAAGTAGGCTACAAACTTGTCAATAATCATAACTATTTATGTGGAATGAGTTCAGCATTTGGAAAGTTTGCTGTAACACATCAAACTTTTTTTTTAATGTCCCACTCCATTCAGGCTGTGATTAGTCTGTTCCCAAAAAGTGACATTCACAAGCACATTGGCCTTATGAAAAGTGTAACGTGTTTCAATAAAAAGGTACCAATTAAGCTAAATAGCCAGCTAACGTTAGCCAAACCCAAACGCTGCTTATATTTTCCCTGTTGTATTCTGTCTTAAAGAATCAGCTGCTGGCAGTGCATCTTGATGTTGTTTTTGAGTAACGGGGTTGTTCGAGCAGCCACAGAGCTCAGTCCAACTAGGTTTTGAACGATTGGCATTGGGGGGTCCGACATGGTGAAAGATTACGGTCGGTTCGCACAGATCTATTTTTAAGGGCTTATGACAGTGAAATGCTCGCACTGTAGATCCCTGCACCTAACATTACACAGCAGAATCACACGTCGCTGCGCCCTGCCTATCTATTCATTTTGGTTGTGCAATATCATATAATAATAATAATAATAATAATAATAATAATAATAATAATAATAATAAATACATTCACCCACACTTTTAGCACATTATTTGAGCAAAACATTTTGTCACTGTGAAAATCCTATCTACAAAATTTAATACCTTGTTAAATGGCGATTAAAACTTTTTAATATTTTTTAATGCCCTTAATTTTTGCAAAATTGATTTATTACCTTTTAACACTTTTGAAGACCCTGCGGACACCCTGATAATGTGCATTAGCGTGTAGCAATGAAGTGCTGCATCCATCTAAGCAGGGATTACCCCAGAGAACAAGCGGCAGCTAAAAAACGTCGCTGTAAGTCTGAAGTCACCAAAAGTCTAAAGTCACCTAAAGTCTGGGAGTATTTTAGACAGCGACCCCACGACGCGGGGCTCTGTAAGATGTGCAAATTGGAAATGGCTCCTCACAGCAGCACAACAGCTATGCACGAACACTTCAAGCGACATGAACTCTTGAAGAAGCCTCCTGCAGCGCTCTGTCAAGACAGCAGCAAGACAGCGCCGCAAATCCGGTTTACTTTTTGTCTCCACACAAGCATGTTATAATATGATTGACAAAACGAGGAACGTGTTTCTGTTAGTAGTAGTGTTTCTTCATCGCCCCAGTGTAAAAAGTAATTTCTGTAATGTCATGGTAACGTAATGTTACACCATGCGTCATATAACGTTTGACCATTTTATATTTTCCGTTTAATTCAACGTATGAGTAAGAAAATGGCTTAAACTAACACTACAATCTATTTTTGCATCTGTCTGTAAATCGTTTCACTTATTTTCTTTCTATTTTCATTTCTACTCATGTAAAACTACATTTGCCAGTGATTGTCTTACTGCATATTACTCCAGTGATTAAATAAATCCATGTCTTAACCATTTTAAGTTTTAAGTACTTATTGCTGATTCTACAGTTCATGGAAAGGGTTAATTGCTGCAATCCTTTTGAACTTAAGATGAAGTATGTTTCTGATCAGGCATCTGACAAATATTGTCTGTTATTATTATTAACATCATAACAGCAGTGACGTGGAAATTAATTACTATTATCATTATTCTAATGTGCTTTATGTGTCTCTGAATAAAGAAAATACTGAATTATTCATTATATTGATCAAGTAATAAAACAATTATCTTTAGCATAATCAATAAATTAGTTGTTAGATTAATCGACTAATCTAAAAAATAATTGTTAGGTGCAGCCCTAGTGCTTTCGTGACAACTGGATCGATAAATAAACAAACAAACTGAATGGAAAATTTTATAGCCCATTTTGTATATACATTTATGCAAAGAGTATGAATTGGTCGTATATACAGTGTCTTATCTACACGCACCACACTTACAGGAACAGCTAGTTTGGTTCTGTCTAAAGTGAAAACATACGACTGTAACTATTTCCTGGTGAACAACAGCCAGGGATGGTGACCAGGGGCAGTTTCCCAGATTCTTTTTGTCAAAGTGAAGTTGCCAGGTTTGGTAGTGTGTACTGTACCATCGAGCCTGTTATAGGATATTCAACCCCATCTAGCAACCTGTGCTACAGCCGGAGATGCTACACAAACATGCTGGTGAAATAGTTCCTGCATGTAGCTCCCTGCCAAAACCACAAATTGTAATTTTTACATTCCTGTTCTGTTGTGCATGTGTTAAACAAACAAGATTCAACGTGTGAATTAGTGAGCTGTAGAGGTGCTGGCAGGTGTATTTTCTCACTTTGGACAGAGCTATGCTAGCTGTTTCCCACTGCTTCCTGTCTTTATGCTAAGCTTGGCTAAACACATCCCAACTCCAGCTACGTATTTAATGCCACCATTTCTTTTCACTATTTTAACACCTTCTCATATGTTGCCTTTCTAAGGAAAAGATGGTCACATCAAACATAATGTAATATTCTTCTCATTATGACATAACAGCATAATTGTAGGCCACTCTGTAAAAAGTACTCGCATGCAGCACTGCATCAAAAATCTGTAATATCTTCTTATAAAAGTACAAGAAAAAGCTAACACAAGTACTTGCAATTAGTTACTTTACACCTTTCTAAGCAGTAGCAGAGAGAGGTGTTGAGTTCTCCTTCAGTTCCTCGATACAGGTTTATCCAGCAGTTCCTGAATTGAAACTCATGACTTTCTGGTCACAAGCTCTCTTCTCTAAACTGTAAGCTGAAGAATCAAAAGTGGTAAACTTGGATGCTTAACTTAACTGTGATCAAATTCAGATAACACTGCAAAAATAAATAAAAAATAACAAATCGCATCTCCTAAAATATATATATAACCAGCAGCATCCAGAGGAATGACGCTGTAAATGACTATACATAGTCTCAGTGGGTGCATTATAAGGGGAACTCATCTTATCAATGACTTTGAGACATTTCCCAGGACTCTCTGTATGCCCTAAACAAAGATGATTGGGCTAATATCCCTCGTCGCCTCCTGTGCACATGTCTTTCTGGTGGGCTCCTCCTCTAGCCTGGAACTACCACATGACTCTCTGCACTCAGCACTGGCTCTGTGCTCTGACTGGGGAGAGGGTGAAAGTAGCCCCGAACCAGAGAGCGGGAGAAGGAGCCTGATAAATGATCACATGCTCCAGGAGATCTCCTCTCGGCAGATCCGGTGATCGTGGAGGAAATCCAGTCCGCAGAAGTCTCAGAAAAAGGAGACATTAACATTTTTTTGTTTTGTTACAGATGAATTAATCTAAACACAGATGCGATCATATTATCTGTGTTTCAGTGCGGTCTGCATATCAAGACATTATACCAAAGTATGAAACATTAACGCATTATTTTTCATTTTAAAACCATGGTTCAGTTTTTCCCTGTAACGCAGAATTTATCTGCTCAACAAACTCTTGGTTAGCAAAGAAAATGGGGCCATATTTGCTTTCTTGCCTGTGTTTGCTTCCACTTCTGTTACAGTCAAACTTTAACACCCACCTCAACTAATATCAATAAGACTCAACAGCACTGATTACATTCTTCTGTTATTAGTTCTGCAGGTCTCGCCACATTTTAACACCAGCAGACATCGAGGGCTTAAAAAACCCAAAGAAGGGCCCGACAAAGCTTGCAAGCGTTGGGGCTGGATGGAGGGAGGACGAGGGGTAGAGGGTGGAAGGGGCAGAGTGGGGAAGCAGAGTGTGGTCCTCAGGGCTCTTTTCCACAGAGGCGTGTGACACTGGGCCTTTGAATAAATGCAGTGTGTGCTGCAGTGCCCTACAGAGGAACTGATAACACAGAAAGAGACCAGGAGGGAATTTGCTTTAACACAAGCTTTTTTAACTCTTTCCTGTGCTCTTCCCAGTCCACTTCCACTACCCCTCCATCACCAACCACGAGATGCCGGATCTCTGGTGGCACTGTTAGGACCAGTTCTCAGCTCAGCCTTAGCTTCAATGTTAATCAAGTTGGGCGTGTGAAGTAATATTTCACTTGAATCATATAGGTCAGGCTAACACTGAGAACAAAATGGCCTAAATATGATTCAACTTAGCAAAACAAAGTTGTGGAGCAAATGGCTTGCATCTTCCATCACAAGGGGACACTAGAATTCCTTTGGGTATAGTTTTAAAGAGACATTTGGCCTTATAAAAAAAAAAAAAACAACAAAAAAACACAGCAACATCTACAAACCTCAGATCCCTCCATACATAGCCAGCCAGACAAACCAGCCAGCTCTGCAGTCAACAATCATCACCACATTTATTGGATTTGAATAGAATATCTGTGTTAGATAACAGTCACCCAGCACAGAGAGAGACCTGACTTTCATGGGTTACCTCAGTTAAAGAGTACAGACAAATTTAGAAAAAGAGAGCGCAAAAGCAAAGGAGAGAGGGGGCGACTGTTCGAGACTGTTCATCTTTCATAACATGGTTCCAAAAACAGAGCAGCCCTCCGTCCCACCCTTTGCCCCACATCACGGATCCTCAAGTAATCAATTACAGGAAAAACAAATCACCAAGAAGCTAACAACAAGGGATGCTATAAAAGGTGTTACCCTTCACGGCTGTAGTGAAGAACAAAAGCAGCACAAAGCAGGTCACGTTCCTTAATATTAAGTCCTAATTATTTGTCGGCCTGTAAATTGACAACATTACATAAAGTTACACTGACAGTTGCTGATGTGTACAAGTTTAGCCCCCGTGTAAGATTTAAACCATTCATTGGTACAGTAATTCTGCACCAAAACATAAAACAGATGAGTTCAGGAATGGGTGGGGCTGGACATAACTTGAAGCTCACCTTCCACAATAGACCGTAATTCATATCTTGAAGAGGCCAAAACCCAAGAACAAACTTTTGTGGACCTAATACATGTCTTTTTGTTGTGAGTGTATATAAATAGCACAAACGGGTCTCAAATACTACTCAATAGTTTCAGTGACCTACTTGTTTTAGCATCAAATGGACAGGATTACATGTACTGTAGGCTTTACCATGTGTGAGGGAGAGAAAGCTACATGGTGCAAAAACAGGGCCCGGGGCTCATTTGAATTTGCTCCACTTCAGTCGACGGACACTGTCGGGTGGCTAGCATAGCTACCGCAGTGGCATTTGTTTCCATTTGCATAGACGACCGTTTGTATCGGTGCTTTCCTTTTTTTCCCCCCTCACGGGCCTACTGTTATCCCATGCTACTATAAGAAATGTTTTACAAAAAAGGATGCTTTGATAATAAGAGTACAGGCCAGCAAAGCTAAGCCTGGTGATTTACATTTACACAACAAGAGGAAATTGTCTTACAAAAGGTTCCCAGTCATGATGGTGCATGCAAAAAAAACATCCACCACATATATACTCTGTGAAAAGCTCACACTTTCAGTCTTTTTTTGTTTAGAGGCATATACATGATCTATCTGTACCATAACCAGCTAAACATGTAGATCATGTGACTGTACATGAAGACATTTCATGGGAGTTTCACAGCAGAACGTTTTATAAAACACCACAGTAAATGTTGTGATTTCACGTCAACATGCCACACAGGAAGTCCCTTTAATCACTTAGAAGAGACACCAACTTCTCCAGCTTCCTATTTGACTAACCAGACACAGCACACCACAACATTGTTCGCTCTCAGGCTCTCAAATTTAGACGTCAAATTACGACATCCAATACTGTAACATAATTTGATTAAAAAAAACACTATATTTCCAGGACAGGACAGGACACAGCGATTAAGCTACGTAAAGCACATTTATTGTGAAATAAGTTCAATAATGCAATGTTTAGGCAGCAGAGATGGGAAATATACAACAGAAAGGTTTTTCTAAGATTTTAGCCAGTAATATTCCCGATACAAAATACATGTAGGTTACAGAGGCCCTTTATAAACAGTTTCAAAAAATGTGGCAGCCAAAAGCAAGCTTAATGATTCATCTCCAACGGTCACCACTATGCAGTAACGCATTTTTTGCATTTAATGGTGTGTTATATCGTCTCAGTAAGGTACATAATGACTTTTTGAGCATGATGATTGTACTGTGAAAATTAAGAGCCAAAATGATTAGTCGAATAATTGATTAATAAATCATTTGTCATCTGTCAAATGTCATTTCACTGCAATTCATATTTTAAACTAAATACTTTTGAGTTTGGGATTGTTAGTCAGAAACAAAGAGCCATTCTAAAGAGCTCACCTTGGGCTGTGGGATTTTTCACAATTTTCTGTTGTTACAGATAGAACAGCTAAATTTAGAAAACAACTGGCAGTTTAGCTGATGATAAGAATAATCTTTAGTTGCAGCCCTAGTAAAAACTTTCATAATTGTACAACCAAAGTTAATACTATCACCTTGTCCATCTTTACATATACAGCAAGTTATTCAGTGAAATGTAGGAAGTCAAAGATTATTGTCTCCTTCTTCTTCACATCCATCGCAATACATTATCACAAAACAACTAGCAAAACTGAACATAACATTTATCAAGACAAGATTTCGCTTAAAAATTAGAGTTCGAAATGAATGAACTTGGTCCACCATGACATCACCTCTCCAAAGGTTTCCAGGTAAAACATACTTCCACATTTCACAACGGCGCCAACAGGTGAAAGCCACAGGTTACCGATTGGCCACGTTCCTGCACTGCCGTATTGGATATCACGCCTGGTGGCACTGAGTGACAATGTAGTGGTGACACTGACGGCACAAGTGAAGCCTGAGACTGATGACAAGCACAGACACTCCAAACAGAGCCATGTTGTTCCCTTTGGCCTGGTCGGGCCTGGGAACTCAACGCCGGCTCTCCCCATGGCCCCGGCCCTCACAAAGCACAACATCACAGCAGCACAGACTACTGCTGCCCTGTTAACACTCTCACTGTCAGGAAATCTTTTTATGGGATATTCCTGTGACGTAGCATTGATTAAAGTTGCCGAGAGGGAAGCTGGGAAACATGCGAAAGGTGTAAGGTGGCAATGCAAAAACAACTCCACTTTAAGGACCGAGTGAAGTGATGGGATGGATAAGACCTGAGAGCAACTGCAAGAACCAAAAAAACCCAGTGTGTACCCTGTCCACAGGGCCTAAATGTTAGCTAGATTAAGGGGCCTTGTTGGAAAAGTCATATGCCAAATTGTGGTTAAGAGATAAAACACACATGTGAAATTGATTCCTCTTCATCCTTTTCTATATAGTGACCTACTGCAAACTTCATATATGAAGCTGAAGAACCAAAGATAAAAGAAGTAGGAGCTACAACTGATAATTACTTTCATTATCCATTAATAGATTTTTAAAATAGTGGAAATTGTCTTAAGGCTGCCATCTTCAAATGTCTTGCTTTGTCCAACAAACAGTCCAAAACTCAAAGACATTCAGTTTACAATTATATAAAACAGATATATGCAGCACATCCGCACCCTTGAGAAGAACTTGGCATTTTTGCTTGAAAAATAACTTCAACGTTTGATCAATATCAAAATAGTTTCTCAATATTTTTCTGTTAACTGACTAATCAATTAATCAACAAACAGACTCAGGTCTAAAAACAATCTTTTTATATTAAAATAAACAGCAAGTTAAACTTAAATGTTTAGTACCTCAGGTACAACATGATAAGAAGAAAGGGACCACTCTCCAACATAATCAACAGCAAAAGTACTGATCAATACACCACAAGGAGACTAATCATGCACTCATAAATAATAGCATGTTAATATTTTCATTTTTGGTTCCTATAAAAGCCCAAAGTGTTTTAAAACCTTCAAGAGTCTATCTACAGCTCTGTACTGTACTGATAGATATTTGTCATTCTTGTTTTGTGTTGCTGCAAAGCCAATGTCAACCAAGGAACACTTTCAAAATTATGTAAAACATTATCTACATTTCCAACACATGACCTCACTCTATCGAATGGCTGATCACACACTGAAAGGAATCCCATGTGCTCCACCTTGCATTCAAATCTACATACAGCACATCGGGTCCAGCTACGAAGGCTGATCAAACCTTTAACAAGCACTGCTAACTTGAATGAAATCAACAGTTAGTTGAAGAAACTAACTGTTGATTTCATTCAAGTTAGCTGACATTTCCATTCATAGCTTATTAGCTAAAAACAATGCCCTTAGTTTTGGTTTCTTAAAAAGGACCCCACAACATCATAAAAAGGAGTCAATTAAAGAAGAAAGGCAACATTAGGTCTGTTGTAGCAAAATTACATCAGACATGCCTGAGCTATATCAAGATCTACATTAGGCTCATAAAAACAGTAAATGCTCTCATCACATACCATCTAACACCAACGCAAACACAAATGCACGTTAAGAAAGACAAAAAAACAAGTATGTACTTTCACATCTGCACACACACAGAAACTTTATGAAGGTCTTACCTGTGAATAGTCAAAGTCAGAGAGAGGTGCTATGCTTTTGATGTATTCGATTCTGAATTGGTCCTCTGGGTTGGCTAGCGGGACAGGGGGTATTAAAGTGCTCATCGCAGACACTATAGTCTGCAAAGCAGAAGTTGTGTGGAAAAAAAAAAACAAGCATTAACTAGGATGAATACAGGGGGGAAAAATCCGTAAGCCTGTATAATAATCAGTAAAATGGGATTGCAGTGGGATTCAGTGTAACAACAGAGACATTGAGCGCATTTGGGAAGTGATACACATGAAACTTACCACTATGGCATCCTTCACGTTTTTCCGAATATCTTGGATTTTCTGTTTCTTTTCTCTGCATGGGGACAGAATAGATGTTTGAGACACTGGTTACGAAAAACACACATTAACCACAGTGGACAACAAAAACTTTATCATCAAGGTGGTTATGAGTAAGATAGGGGTTACTGCCAGGTTAAGACTGTATACAGTGGCAATGTATACAATTATAAAGTACAGGTATTGGGGCTGGGTGTATGTACCAGTGGAGCGCAGGCAAGAGTGAAATGCAGGATGTGGCTGAGTAAAATGCAAAAGTAAAGGCATACGATGGGCTGGAGCCAAAATATTTCTCTTTTGATAATCTTGAAAATGCTAAGTTATGCCTCCTATCCTATAAAATCCAGCCTCCCCTGGATAAATACTTTAAATGTATATGCATTTATGTATATGTATGTATTTTCATACAGTTACAGGACTCTGATGTACTAGGCCTGTTTAAAATAGACCACTGGTAAGATCAATGCCATGCAAGGCCTTGCAGCAAAACAAATCATCAATAGGCCTGTGTCGATCACAACCTTTCACCCTCTCACATGAAACAGGAAACAGTGAATTATTTGGCATCTGTGTGACACTGAGATCCTCACATATGTATGATAACTGTACATGTACACGAAGGAGGAAAAAAGAGAGAGGGGGAGAAAAGATATTAGCTGCTTTGCATGGGATACTGGGCCCAACAGGCGCTGCAGTGCCTGGGGAGAATCCATTCACAGGCTATATCCTGGCGTCGACAGTGTTATTCATTAGGAGATAAGCTATAAGAATAAGCATTAATGTAATATCTGAGCCGTTAATGTAGCTATTTAATAAACGTATTGAATAGCACTCACTCCGCGTTGAAGCCGTTGACGTGTAGAATCCTCATCTGCTTCACAATGGTGCTTTTTCCGGACTCTCCCGCACCTTCGAAAAATAGACATAAAAATATCACCAAATGATCACGAATAGATACAGCCAGGTTGCCGTTAAACCCATAAATGTTTTGGAAATGAAGCCAGCTAATTGTAGGCTCTGGAGCTTCGCTTCCATCAATATCCACCCCCATGACATATTATTGCAAGCGCTGTCAAATGGGGCTACGTGTTCGGTAAACGAAAGGGATTACGGTTAGCTTACATTTCAGATAGCCATCACATATAAATCAGCCTTACCCAGTAATAAGAGCCTGTGTGTGGCTTTATACGCTTGTCTTTCCTTTTGCAACTGTTTTTCTATCTTTTTATTAGCCTCTCGTTGTGCCTTTTCGTCGATGCGTTGATCTTCAGTCTTGCTGTTGCCCAAACAACCCATCTTCCGTCGCCCTAACCCTTCCTTGTGGAATCGTAAAAAATATAAAATAACACCCGGGATGATATTGTGGTGTAAAATGACACAGGAATGAGTCTAATGTAAAGTAAAAAAGGAAAAATCTCTGCGAGGCTTCTCCGTCGGAGGGAGGAATATGTTCCCCGTTACAATTCCGCTTTTAGCCGCAGCCAACCGTCATCCAAACCGTTTGTTAGTTCACAAGCCAACGAAGAATAACGACTCGCTTCAACGAAGAAATATCAAAAATACATATAAATAAGAAGAGAGAGAGAGGGTTTTCAATTTCTGGGAATCCAGTCAACTGTTCCTATCGCGTCTCCAACCACTCTCTTCTCTTCAGTATTTTTTTCTATCTGAATTTCTATCAGTATTTCTGTCTCTTTAACTCAGCACTGCCTCTCTCTGTGGCACCAGGAAGTAACCGTGGACCGTGGAGGTAAAAAACAAACCTGCGTTAAACTGTAACATTAACAACCCGCACTGATATATCATTTTATAACTTGTGTGGCTAAGGGAGAGGAGCCATTCCCAATTCAGTCCTTCGCTATCCTGCTATCAAACTAATCGGCAAAGGGGTGGAAACCCGGACGCCTCTCTGCTGGTTTACAGAGGGGCTGGGTCTCTTCTTCTTCTTAGCTTCCAGTGCCTGACCCAAACTGGCAACCCATTTACACTGTCTCTGTGTGTGCGTTGGGCTTTTCCTATCTCTGTTGTTCATACATTTCAGGTCTGGGTGCCATCATGGTAGTTGTACAGTGCAAGAGGACTAGTAGTACGTGGTGTAGGAAGTACTCAGACCCTTTACTTTAGTAAAAGTAGCATTACCACAGTTAAAATGAAACTACTCTGACTGTGCGTTGTCTTAAGTAAAAATACAGAGGTATAAGCAACTCAATGAACTTAAAGTATCAAAAGTGAAAGTACTCATTGTGCAAAATGGCCCCCTTCAGAGGTTTGTACTGTATTATTATACATATTAAATTATTTGATTACAATTGTTGTGTTGCCATGTCAGTAGTATTTTTAAAGCAAATTCAACTACTTCATCTTGTAAAATTACTTTTTACTCCACTTCATTTTTCTTACAGTAACTTGTTACTTTTCAAATTACAATTTTACATACAAAACATGTGATGGGTTTAAACAACCTAACAGTATATAAAATAGTTAGCTCCACCTCGAACAGCTACAACAGTTATATGCTGTTTACACATTAATATATCAGTAATACTAATCTAATATAAGAGTATAAAACTCACTTTTCTCAATTTTGAGTACCTTTACTTTTGATACTTTAAGGACATTTTGCTAATAATACGTACTTTTACTTATTTTCAATGCACTACCTATAATGGAGTATTTCTACTTTTACTTAAGTAAAGGATCTGAATGTTTCCTCCGCCACTGAGTAAAAGTAGTAATACCACTCAGTAAAAATTCTCAAGATTTAAGATTTTACTAAAGTAAAAGCACTCATTATTATCATTATATATCATATTATGGGATTATTATTACTGATACATTAACACCTAAGCAGCATGTTAATGTTATATCTGATAGAGGTGGAGGTCATTTGAACTACTTTATATACTGTTGGTTGTTTATCTAAAGTACTGCATCACATTATATATGTATTTTATATGATTACTTGTTTTGTTTGTAAAACCCACAAAGTAACAATTGCTGTCGAAGTATAAACTTGAAATACGCTAGTACAGTAAAAGTACCTCAAAATTGTACTTGTAATGTCAGTATAACGTAAAGAGACACTGTGCCACTGTAATTTATTAAATATAATATATAATAATATAACTGACAGGGTTCACTCTGTTGCATGAGTACTTTTACATTTGATACTTTACATTTGTACTTTTTCCTTAAAAAAAATTAAAGTGACTTTTACATGTAATGGAGTATTTGTACATTGTTGTATTGCGTCTTTTACTTGAGTAAAGGATATGAGTACTTCTTCCTTGACTGCAGTAACGACTAACTAAATGTGTGTCTATTGTAGGCTCATTAATCAAGCATTAAACTATCTTATAGACCGGTGATACCCAACCTGGGGGTCAGGACCCGTCCTAAAGGGTAATGAGATAAATTTAAGATGTCACAATATAATTAACAAAATCAGGAAGAAGAAAAAACATATTATTACTAGTTGAACTTTTCACGCTTTCTTCTTTTTTCTTGTGAATTCAGGATTTGACCTCTTCAAGCCTCTAAAAAATCTTCAGAATTAAGAACCTGAGAAGGAAGAATCGCATATTGGTCTGCTGATTGATTGTCATAACTTGTAGACATGCACAAACAGTGACAAGTGGTGGCAAGTAGACACAGATTTGTTTAAGGGGGTGGGGGAGGGTCCCTGTCCAGAAGAGTTGGGAACCATTGCTATAGATTAGGCCTCATACAAACCCGTAGTACCCAAAATAATGAATTTTTACCCTTGAGACGTAGAGCCCTGCAAAACTGGCTGTCCAACTGCATGCACTAGCCAGAGCATGAAAAGATCATTTCCCTTTGCTTTGATTAACAAATCATACAAAAAATCATAGCAAAGTCATGAGCTTTACAGAGTACATCATCTTCAAATTGTAGTGACACCAGGAAATCAGAAAGACATTCAGTTTCTTTAGGTCACCATTAAGTCATCATTAAGCCTGTCACAAAAATGGGTATTACAAAAATAATATAGTTATACCTAAGGCAACAAAAAGAAAGACCATTGATAAGGTTTACAAAAAACTCCACATGATAACACTATCAATCATTAATATACTTGTCTCACATATGTCCCAATTTTGCCAGTAAGAAAAATAATTGCTTTCAACACATCTCATGCCAACCTTTTTTCATAAATGTTTACCTGCCAGACTATGAAATAAATGAACGCTAAATTAAGGATTATTTGTCTAGACCTCACTTGGGGAATAACATTTCATAACACCTACTGTATAGTCACAGACATATTTCCAAATATCTAAAAAAATTAAAAATAAATAAAAAGGCCATACATCACAATAGCTACAATCCGGCAGTGAATTTCATGCGTTTGCCTATAAGGAGGAAAGAGAAAAACTGTCACTGTTGTTGTGATTATTGTCTGACATTGACGTCTAGTTTGCTGTTGTGACTTCCTCTTCACTAGACCAAAATTGGGTGTGGGTTTGTAAAGGGTTGACTTTTCATTCACCGACGCTGCACTTTACATTTAGGCTACAATTGTGTTCTTTGTAGGTAACTGTAGCAGACTTATTTCCTTATTAATGTCTCTCTCTGAGACAGAGAAGGAAGTCTTTTCCATTCAAAAGCAACTAGTTAAAGTTGGTAGGCCGGCCTTCACATTGAGGTAATGCTAGGCTAACATACAATACTACACTACTGCATTCAGGTCAGAAAAAATTACACATGTACTGTATTCTTATATAACAAATTCTCACAGAACCCCCCAAAACTACGAGCCATGTCATGAACTATTATTTGTATAACACATACAATGAGTGTGCTGTTATTGTCTCCATTATGCAAATACAGTGCAAATACTTGTTTCATGGAGGGACATGTGTGAAACAAATTTGTGCAGGCAAATCACAACTGGAACCCTCACTTCACCTATAGTGGTGTGAAAATATCACCACCCCCTCACACCCACCCCCGACCAAAAGGAATAGAAAAAATACTGTCTGCCCACCTCAGAAAGCAAGGTCAAAACCAAGTGACTGGCCCACATCACTCTCTAGTGGTTAGAGACAGCACCGCATACATGCTGTAACTACCCTATGAATGATACAGAATCAGGTTTGGTTGCATAAATTATCAACCTTTTTGATATTGGGGGTTTCTATAAAGATGTTTATCATGTGTACTGTTTAGAATGATTTTGTGACAGTACAAATTTAGAACCCAATCCTGGTACAACATGCAACTTACACAAGTGGGGTATGGAAAAACTTGAAGTATCTAGTGCACATACACTGAGAAGTGACTTTTCAGTGAACTAGGAGACATGTCCAGCAGTTAAACCTTTGAAATGGAAACCTCTTCTCTGTGATAAAACCATATCCGATTATTATTTAAGATATTTTATTTGTATATCTCTTTAAAACATGTATGGAGGGGAGCATTAAAGTATCGTTATGAGAGTAATAGTAGTTAGTAGTTATCTGTCATAATTAATGTCTCTGTCGGTTTACGTGCATGTGCAGTGTTGGAAGAAGTGTTCAAACTCTTTGCTTAAGTAAACATAGCACTGCAACAATCTAAAAATACTCTACTCTAAGTCATTTCTGTTTAAAGTCTGACAAAGATGTTTTTACTATTTTCAGACTGATAGTGGACCTGTACTGCAAAATGGCAGCCACACTGCCATTGTTTGGGGTTTGATTCCCAAACTCTGGCAGTTTAAGGCCCTTAAAAACAGCTGCTAATCAATGACCATCTCTCAACAATGCACAGTTTCATTTTGGAAATATAACAGAGGCTTTGCAAAATTATTGCACTTAAATAAATACATTAATATATAATCAAATACACAGGCTTTCTGGTTGGGTACAATAACTCTTACCACTTAAAAGTTCTTTTCTATATCTAAATCTTCTACACTTATTTACTAGTCCCGGCTGCAATTCAAGCACGTACTGTAGAAACGGGGCACAAATCCAAATGATATCCAGCTAAAATTAGCCTCCTGGAATTTTCTGAGGCTGGAAAGAACTTTATAGTACTCTCTTTAGGGACAAATGCTCTTGATAAAGTGTAAATTATACAGTAAGCAAAACCTGGAGCACAAACATAGTCCAATGTCTATGTCTGCTGTGGTAGGTTCACTTTGATTCAGCTGATACAAGTATCCACTATCAGTATCATAAATATGACAATAATTCATACTCCAGCACGTCCTGTTGGTCATTACATTAACTGGGAACTCTGTGCAGTTAGTAGCAAAGTTCAGCAATGGTCAATGATAAAACTCATTTAGGCAGAAGCAAAGTTCACCTGACTCTACATGTTTCAAAAGGGGAGGGCCAACAAGACTATACTTTCCACTGCGTGCTTCTGTGGATGAGTAAGCTTTTCCAAAATATGGCTTCACGTACAGGACAATGGCACAAAAAACAAAACAAAGAGGGAAAAAAAACAGACAAAACACGACAATTAGTGACTTCCAACAAGCTAGTCATTGCCCTGCCTACTTCATTTGAGTGATCATTTCTCTCAAGTGTGCTATATTGCTAGCAGACTGTTGTCCAGGCTCATGAAGGGTGATAAGACTGAGATATGAAATGGCCAGTTAAGGACATCTAGGAAAGCTGTAACAGATATTATCACATGGCCTGTACAGAATCTGATCCAAGAGACCATAAACAATAAAGGAACTTCCATTCCAAGAAATAATTGGAACTTGCCTTCCAGCTCCTGTCGCAGTATTCCTGTATTTATATACTTAAGTGTAAAGTCTAAAGTAACTATTAAAAGATTTCAGAATTGTCCTCTGGTGAAATGTGTTGAATAATAAGTTGTTAAAGCATTTCTACAGGCAGTTTTGGAATAACAGCGTTATATTAAGTAGAAGTCTTTTTAT